GGACATTGCCGTCCCCAAGACGACTCCCTCCCATAAGCCTTACAATCTCTCTGTAGAAACCCTCAATAAAATTAAAGAGCGGAGGAAACTCCGTCGTTTATTTTATCGCAATAAAGACCCCACCCTGAAGCCATTAATCAATAAGCTTAATCATGAGATTAAAGCCCTAATTAAGATCGAGAGCGATCAGTACTGGTGTGATTTTTGCGAGCAATTAAATAGCGAAGAGGATCCAGCTAATTTTTGGAAGTTATTTAAAAGGGTTGGCAACCCTAGAAACAGTAAAAGTAGACCCCTTAAATTCGACGGCGGGACTCACTGCAGTGATGAGAGCAAAGCCTCCGTTTTTGCATCTACTCTGCTGGAAGCTATGACTGAACCCCCCAGTTCCCTGGGGCGTCGCCCCCCAGAGGTTTGCCTCGATCTCGAAAAGAAAATCTGTAACTTCTCTCTCTCAGACCTCTCCTCTAAACCTGAGTATCTCTCTCCCTCACAGAAAGCTCTCACTTACGAAATAACGCTCGATGAGATCGAGGCCGCGATTAAAGTTTCCCCTAATAAAGCCCCTGGCCCCGATAATATTTTCGTTAATAGCATTAAACATCTCTCCGAGCGAGCCCTTCGCTCTCTCTATCTCATCTACAACGCCTGTCTCCGCCTAGGACACGTCCCGCTCGGGTGGAAGTCCGCAATAATTACTATGATCCCTAAGCCCGATAAGGACCTTTCCGACCCTTCTTCCTTTCGTCCTATTAGCCTTCTCAGCTGTCTCCAAAAACTCTTAGAAAGGATTCTTACCTCTCGCCTTAATGATTACCTGGAAACCAATAATTTACTCTCTCCCTCTCAATCGGGCTTTCGTAAGAATCTTTGTACAACCGATCAGCTCGTTCGTCTCCACCACGATGCGTTGGTGGCTGTCCACAGTAAAATGCATCTCTTGGCTCTTTTCTTTGACGTGACTAAAGCTTTCGATAAGGTCTGGCATGCAGGGCTAATCTTTAAACTTTTCTTTCACTTTAAAATTCCCCTGCAGCTTCTCAGATGGACAGCCTCCTATCTGACCGAGAGATCGTTCAGGGTAAGGGTCGGGAACTCTTTCTCCGAGACCCGCTCCCCCACCGCGGGGGTTCCGCAGGGCTCAGTAATAGCACCCCTTCTTTTCATTCTCTACGTTAACGACCTCTCGAGCTCTATCCCTCGTAAACTTAACGTTTGTACGAGCCAATACGCGGACGATACCGCCCTGTGGCTCTCGGGCAGAGATGTCACTGCTCTGGAGTCGCGAGCCCAAGCGGCGCTCAACGCTCTCTCTTACTACTGTCGCAACTGGCGTATAAGTATGAATCCCTCCAAATCCTCCCTCCTCTTGTTTGCACGCGACAGGAAACCTCACTCCGTAAACGTCCGTTTGGACGGTGTGCTCATCCCACGCTCGCGGTTCACCCGTTTTCTTGGTGTTAATTTTGACAGTAATCTTAGATGGAACGAACACGTTAACGTAATCCGCACCAAGTCGATCAGAAAGCTTAACTGCTTGAAGATTTTGGCCGGGGTTAACAAATGTGAGCCTCACGTAATTTTGAAGTTATATGTAACGTACCTCCGCCCGGTCTTAACGTACGCGTTCGCTGCTTGGGCAAACTGCCCAGAGACAGTCCTCGACCAACTAGAACGCATCGAACGAGCTGCTATAAGATACGCCTTCCGCCTTCCCACTTATTTTTCTAACTCATATATATACAGAATCAGCGGACTCACCCCTCTCTCTCGGCACGCCTCTCAACTAGCTTATAACTATTATAACGACCCTAAAAGGCCAGGGGACATCAAAGAAATTCCCGTGAGATTAAATAAGAAATTCACCATAGGGCGCTTCAAGCACTGTAAAACTTATCCTTATAATAAAATCTTGGAACGTTTAGGAAAAACCACTAACTGCTCTCCCCCTGACCCCTGAACCATCCCGCTCTCATCATTCTTGTGTCAACAGTGCTTTTTTTCTGGGGCACCTGAACTGATGAGGGTGAAAAAATATCTCTTTTCTGTCTCGCTCTATTTTCACTCCACTCCCTTCCTCCTCCTATTCCTTCGCGCAGTGCTTTTTTTCTGCCGCGGAGGAATATCCAGAGCGCACTATCGCTCAAAGCCACTTTTCATTTCCTTCCCTCACACCTTCCTTTCACTTTCTTTCTCTTCTCCCACTCGCTCGCTCCTCTCTCCTTCCGTCTTCTGTTGCTCTTTCTAAGCATCAAAAAAAAAAAAAAAAAAAAATTCAGACCCTCTCACTCTCACTTTAGCGGCCAATCCAATACCTCACTCCTCAAACTCCTCTCGCATGACTCCAATGTCTCAAATAACACCCTGCTTCAGCTCTTCTCACCAGGGCGCCTGATAAGGCCCTTCCGGCCAGCTGGCACCTGGAGACACCTATTCTTCCTATGGGGCATCTATCCTTTAAACAACTTCCGACAGGATGTAAATCCAGTAAATTCAGCATGAAATAAGTTAAAACGTACCTAAAGAAAGAGAATCGTAAACTGCTAGGGCGTAAATTAAACTTCTTCAGAAACAAGTGGACCTAAAACGTAATCAGCCCCAAATCTACTAACCAATTCAATGATAGGATCTTCTTGTTTTTGCTTCTCATTAAAGGCCGCTCTCTGTCAAAAAAGGAATATAGAATTAACAGCTAAAAGTAATAACGGGAGAGATCCAGGCGTGGTGGCGAGCGTGCCTGCACACTCGTCCTCACGCCTGAGTCATGGGTCACCTTCCCATGGCGTTCACAACAGCTTCTCCAGGGTATTGCACTCTGCCAGCCCTGGTGTTGGGAGGATCTCACCGTGGTGGGCGGGAGTCATGTGGCGGTCCACCACTGACAGCGGGGCCCACCATACCATTAGCTCCTTTTATTATTATTAAAAAAAAAAAAAAAACGTATTATTTTATCCGCTTAGAAGATCTAGAATATACAGAAGATGTCCATGGACTTCATTCAATTAAACCTCACTTAAATGAGGTAATAAGGGACTGATACCTCTGATACTCCACGGAACCTGTAAGAGGTGATCCGCCCTCTGACCTGTGCAGTAATCAGTACTGTCAGAGGTAGGTCATCGCCTGTATGAGAGCGAAACCGACACACGTTATGTATGAGAATTTTCGCATTTGCATTATATCTCTCTCACTTTCTGATGGGAGCGTTTTTATTCACGGAGGAGGAGAGCAATTTTACTCCTTGGTGAAGGAGTAAATTCGCTCTTTTCCCAGAGTGAAAGGGGGGGGTGAAATTGGAGTTAGCTATTTTACTCTCTTTTTTGAGAAAAATCGCTCCCCTTTTTCTACGAGTGTAGTGGATCAAAAGTCCAAAAATGTGTCCCATTTTCATGTAACGAGGCCACTTTTTGGCTAGTAAGAATGGCACAATACCGAAAGCTTTCTTGAGAAGTGCTCACACGTCATGACCTGCACTCGACCTGATACTTGATTGCCGAACGAACCGGTCCAAACCCTGCTTTGTCCTTTGAGCTTCCGAACTCGCGGTCACAAATTACGCTTTCTCTCGAACCCGACCGGAAAATAGATTGCCGATCGACCTTCATGCCCGATACACCGGGCAAATAGGTCCTATCGAGTCGATCCGCATCCCGGCCGAGCTCAAAAATCTTCCCCAATTTTGCTGTGACAACGATCAAATGTCATACTTCGTCGCGTTACCAGGTCCGTCGCCGGTTTAAGACAGTGCTTCGAGTATGTTTCCAGCATCGAGTCGGTGTTCAAATATTGTTATTTTTAAATGTTGGCGTTCTCGAAATGCCCCGAAATATGAGGAAATTTCAACAATTCTGTGGCGGGATCTACTGAACGTGAGAGAAAGAAAAACTTTTGGAGTCTCAGTCAGTGGATAAAAGTCCATGACGACGTTAACAAAACGCTGCTTCGCAGGATGCTTCCAGGAATAATGAAACGAACGGAGAAAGAGCAGAAAGTGATGCACGAAATGTTCTCATTCCACTTATTTCAGCCCGTGCTTTTAGACTAGTTTATATCATAAGGGCCATCAACATTTGCAAGCTCAATTGGCCAAGGCGAGAATGAAAGTCCCAAGAGTCCAAAAATCGCACATTTCTGGCTTCCTGAACTACACACGTCATTTATACACCAAATTGAAATCCCTGGATGGTGGCGACCGTGTAAGCCTTTCTCTAATCGAATGCAAGGACTCAGGTCCAGTTAATTAGCAATGATTGAGTGGGCGGTAGGGGGCCGGGGGTTCCTTGAGGAAAAATATAATAGTTTAACGCTGCTACATTCACGTCTTTTCAATAACGTCACGTGACGCCTCGCCGCGAAAGACAGACTCTAAAATATCGATGAGGTTTTACATATTTATTCAAAAGCAAGGAGCCAAAGGTTACGACAGATTAATAGCATATCAATATTTTGGGTTCGTTGAAATGAATGGAAAACTAATTGCTATGGAACCTGTAAATAAGAGTTGGACATTTTAATCATGGAGGAAATCTTGCCATAGGGAGAGTAGTTAAGCAGTGAGTGGGCTTTCTCGAAACTAAATCGCTTTCTCTTTGGGATGTAACTCATGTTGAGTGAAAAAATTGTTTCATGTATTTCGTGAACGTTTATGAAGACATGGAAGAACGAGAGGGCGATTGTGGCCGTTTCAGGCGTGGCCCTGCTCTTGAGCCGATCACTTCGTTCCCCGCCGCCTCGCTGTTTTTCACATGGATAAGTGGCTTCAGGCATTCCGAATGGAAGGGAATCCAACATGATGAATAAAACAGCAGCTAATCTTATCCAGGGAACATGAGTAACAAGGAGGGTAATCTGAGGACAGATCACTGATTGCATGGTAAATATAAGGTGGTTAAAAAAACGCTCTACCGTTTTCTATGTGAGAAACACAGTTTCAAAGATGCGGCAAAAAAATTAAATTTTAATACACGATCGATATTTGACAGACTTTACAAGCTTTTGAAATGTTTGTCAGTTTTTTTTCTGCACCCTGCCTAAGTTGTGCTTTGCCTACTTAAAGGTAAATTAAAGGTGCTTTGAGGTGGGTCATTCCACCTCCAGTGGGCTGATTACCTGTGTTCGATCATCTCAGAATTCAATTGATGAACCCGATGCCAAAATATATCCATCAAAGGAAATCGGGAAAAAAGGGAAAGTCAGTGTGAATGAACTTTGACAGTGCGCTCACCCTCATGAAAGGTTAGCCCCCACGTGGATTTAGAACCAGATGGATTTTCATCTAGATGCAAATCCACCATGGTAAACTAAAATTGTAAGCTCCTAAGTTCAAAAATTGAAGTTAAATAATAGGCTGCCATCGAAACCATGGCCATACGGTAGGATATTAAAAATTTACACCAAAGAAAACGTTATATGCAATATCTTGTGTTTTCTGGAAGGTCACTATGGGAATGATAAATGGGTACGTTCGCAAGCTGACCGATAGTTTTTTTTCTTCAAACAATTGATTATCCGGCAAACGTCTATGAACTGATGAGTAAAATTGTGCAGAGGCTTCCTGAATGCGTCTTGTTTGAAAAATCGAAAATCTCGTGAAACGTCTCATGCCCCTCACGGAAGGAATTCTTGTCGCTGTCCCCGATAGATTGAAATGTGACTTAGGTTCACTTTTTCTCCTTATATGGAATCATTCGAAAGAAGATCATTCATTTCAGCTAAGAGCTCATAGACTGGCAGTGTGTATCGCTCATCTATAGACTAGACGTGATCCTCAGAACTCAAAATGAAATTGAGTAATTTTCTTGCGATACTCCAATGGTACTGTCATAGAATATCCATGCCTTTCGTCAATTTCTAAACCCCAAGAATAAAATATCAGAAGAGTCTTGGGACGGTCGTACCAATTGTTACTCCTCATCAATTTAGAATAGTACTGAGTTACCTTCATCAGGGATTCCATTTGAAGCAGTGCCATTCCCGGGGTGAATGATACCGATTTCGAAGGTAATCTCGTAAAAGTCAACTGACGAAGGCGACGTGGCACTGACGAAAATGCCGGGGGCTTGCTCTTCTTGACACCCCCAGACGGGAGTGGACAAGTGACCTGCCAACTGCAAATTCATCCATCCGGTTCACTTTTTCTCGGTCTCAGAGAAATGAAGGGAATCTTGAGACCTACGCGGTAGAAGCCGGAGAAGGAGTCCTTGCAGATGAGAGGTGCACCGGATTCCCCACACCACGTCGAGGAGAAGGTCACGCATATGGAGTTCACTGGAAGGAGACCGCCCTGGGTGATTCTCTCATGGCATGTGCGATGTTCGACGATCGAGGCGGAATATGTCACTGGTTCCGACGTCATAGAGGCCACATCTGAAAATGAAAGACAAAATCACCGAGATAATTGACCCAGTCAGGTGGAGATATAACATAAAACCAATAGCAATCGCAACCTTTCATGTGACTGATGAGTTTGCATTCAGAGAAATATTGTAGATCATTAAAATCCTGGGTGCAGAGCGGACATGTTCCTCCCTCTTTCACTGGCTTCTCAAGGATCACCATCCCAAGGTCATTATCGAGGGTTTCCCTGACGAAGTCTAAATGTGCGACTCTCTTACGTATCCGATGTCGTACAGGGCTACCAGCTACCTGGATGGACAGTGACTTCAGCTCTTATCCTCTACAGTAAATGGATGTAATCGAAATCCCAAATCCCAAATTAGTGACTGAAAAGCAAAGTAAGTCTTCTTCATCGGTATCAACAAACGCATAAGAGAGGAATACATGAAGAAGAGAAAGCAGGAGGAAGTGGTGGAGACGAATTGACGCTCTATGAGTGCTCCGCTGCAGATCATCCTCCCGCTGGAATCCACAATAACTGCTTCCCAACAATGATGTTCTGTTTCAGCAACTGCATTGTCTCTCATCATCTCATCTGTCAGTTTCGACGTTGGTAGAACTAGTATGAAGATCAGTGAATATCATGAACCATACCATGACCCAAGAGGAGGGGGGCATGTAATCCATCACGGCACTATAAAAACGGGATGTTTGCTAAGTTACTCCCTATTTGTTAATATAGCTATAACTTTTGTCGCTTTTAGACTAGAACAATGATTTTTGTGCTGAAAAGAGCAGAATACAAAACGTTTATGGTTTCATTGAATTTATTTTAAACTTTCACCCTTTAAGATTTCAATATTGAATCTTCAACATCATACGAAAACAGCTTATCCATAGCTTTGAGATAATCACTAAACCTTATACAGATGTTAGGAATGATATGGAGGGTGTTTCAGTAGATTTACATGATTCTTAATCTAGCTTGAGGCAACAAATAGTCAAGTTTCCCACTGTACCCCAGTCTCCCCTACTTCTAAAGCTAAACATGTAAGACAAACAAGTTCATACAAGTTTGAATAGGTCCAGTAACTCGATTGAATGTAGTTTTGCTTTCACAGAGGCGTGGGTGAAGTGCTTAACAATTAAGTTCCTTGCACTATGTACTGTATTATTTTGTTGTTTTGCTCGTATATGTTTACATGGTCTAAATTGCATTTGTAAAGACATGTAATTGCATCATATCCTCAAAATCAAGGAAAGAATACAAGAAGGTGTGAGAACCACTTGGAAAGCATGTTTGACCATGGTATGGAGAGGAATTTAGTTCATACCTTGTATATGCATGCATGTTGAACGCAAGGAGAAATATGTATATTATCTGCTTCAGATCAGTAATTTGAAATCTCCTAACTGCAGGAAAATATGCTGAACTATTATGGGAAAAATCCATCATTACAAGGAAACAAAGCATGATCGAGTGGAAGTCTGAGGCATACCACCACTGGAGAACACTTCAATGTCCCTCTTCTCGATGGCTGTCTTCGATGCACAGCAAAGGAGATTCTCAGGGCATCGAAAGAGCTCGGTGAAGTCAGTCAGTCCGCTGGCTCGGCATTCATCGGAAAGGTGAGTCGCCATGCAGAGGCCGAAGGCAGGGTCGCAATTTGGGATTTCTTGTGGTGCTGATGAATGCCCTGATCCGTTCGATTCGGTCATCACTTGGCAGCAATATTCATTTGTCTCCCTGCACTCCGAATCGTTCTTCAAAGTCCCTGGCACACAGGACTGGACGTCTGCCTCAGAAACACATTTGTGGTCGCAACGTCTGAGAGAATAACTTTTCTGGGGAGTCTTGATGACGCAGCAGACGCGATTTTCATGACATGAAGCCTTCGCAATCTCACTTCCTGGCTCACATTGGACGTCTGACAAGGCTGATGGAATACAGGCATGGGTGGAAGGGCACAGTTGACCGAATAATAAATCTTTTCCTGCAGCCGCAGTGACGCGGCAGCACAGTTGGGTGCTCAGAGGACAAGGGAGAGGCAAGGCAGTGCCCGGGTCGCATAAGGTCACGTATTTCGCATCTGGGCACGAGAAACCCGCAGCGAGTGGGCAGGAAGGACCTGCTGGACTTGTGCTGGCCAGGTTTGGGGTGTTTCCTGCCGAAATTGCTGGCTGACAGCAGAATTCACCCGGCCGGCAGTTGTGAAATTTAGAAAGACTCAACGACCCCGCTGTGCAAAGGTGCACGTCCACGGCACCGACACACTTGTAAGGACACAGGCGGCACCTCGTCAAGGAATGAAGATTTAAATGCTGAAATTCTGTTCCGTTCTCACATGTCCCGAACAGCCTTGTCAAAAAGAATGGAGAAAACGAGAGCCAGTCCAATTCACAACCACACCGAACAGGATTCCCTGAAAATGGATGAATGGGCTAAGAAATGCAGTAAAAAAAAAAGAAGACAAATGGGAATACTTATGGCTGGAGATGAAATTTGTGTCTCGAAGTGAAAACTATGTTATTTACCTTGAAGGTTGACACTCCCATCACCATGTGAGAGGATCTCCAGTATCGGACGAAATATCTCTTCATCTAACTTAGAGATATTATTCTCTGTTAGGCAAATCTTCGTGTTTGGCGTCAGACCTGAAAGAGATACGGAGAATGCTCTGCAGTCCACTATGGTGCGTCGATTGAAATGTTCTACCAGGTCTGGGACTAAGCTATTCCTAATTTTGCAAAAGTCCAGTATCTAGTCTGTCGGGAAGTATGTGAGTTCTTTCCGATGACAGGAGAGCAAAGGTGATTAGAGGTCGCAACTAACCTCTGAATTGTCCTACTGCAGATAAAGGAACCATGTACTTTAAATAAAACATATATATTACGGTCCAAAATGAATGTTACAAGGTAACTTGAGGTTTGGGGCGTAGTAGATGTTGTGATGGTGTTATATTTATATTTTGCTGAACAATCAGCACTGCTTGAACTTTATTAGCGTTTGCACGCGGCAAGATGCCTAATTAGGTTTTCTCCATGCCATTTGCAAAGTTCAAACTTTCATATATATAGATTGGGTGATTCCATTGTGCATGTCATACAGTCTCAGAAAAACACCAGATATATATGCCAAGGTTAACGCAGCAACAAAAGGGACGAAGCGATGAAAATGCTTTAAAAGGGTGTAACGCAAGAGGGAGTCACGCGGCGATTCAGATGGACTCATAAGCCCTTACCGGATTCAATCAGCTCTTCATCAAAACTAGCATATCAGTTGACTTTGCGAATCGCTACATCTATTAAGGTCAAGTGTTCTGCCTGGTTCAGGAAATTGCTCCAAGAGGGTGAAATGCAACAGGCGCTACACCCTTTTGGAGCAATCTTATCGTCCGTCCCTTCAGTTGTTTTTAAAACGTGAAGTGGTAAGACGTAATAGATTTCTAAAATGTTCAATGTGACATCATCTTATTTGCGGTTAAGGGGATCACTGAATAAACTTGGCAAGTAGCATCAAATATCCACATACCCTACCCCATGCTAATATATACATTTCCAAGAATTACAAAGTAATTCAGGCAGTTTTTATTCTATCCATTTATGCCACCTCAGCCACGATGAGCTCCAACTGAATATTCGCAATACCTTGTCGAATGCGCCTTCAATCTCCGCAAAAAGACCCATCAGGTCCCCTACATCAGGGTAATGTAATGGACGTTAAAGTTTAACGCGGATAAGACATCCATGGGACAGTTATACCAATGCTACACTGAACACGAACAATGGGAACGGGAAAACTGTTATACCTGTGATGGCATTCGGCTCAATTATTGAAATGTTGTTTGCACAGAGATACAGCTCCCTCAGTCCCTTAGAGCGGAGTTCCACCTGGCCTCTCGATAGGGTCGGTCCCAGTTTGCAGGATGCAAAATCAATTAACTCCAGTTTGTGTAGATTCCTGATCACTGCAGACGGCAGCTTCGGCAAGGGGTTGCCACCTACATCAAGCACGTTTAAATCAATTATGAGATTTGAGTAAGCCAACTGCTTATCCTCAACTTGTTCAGAAGACGCAAAGATTCGTTGTTAAACAGCCTTTTTCATTGTCTTCAAAGGGGAGGCTGAAGTCAACCCAATGGATAGCCAAAAATTGGTAAATGATTATAACTACTGCAGACTACACCCACGATTATTTTAATATTACTCAAATGGCGCTGCCTAGAAAGACAGTTGAACATGCGATGACGTAATTTTCCTTAATAATAAAAAATACGTGGGTCACTCTGGAAGTTTTCAGAATCAAGGAGACAACACACCGAATTTGAACCAACTTTCTACAGATGCTCGAAGTAGTCACCATCACACTCCACAAAAGTTTTCATCCGCTTGAGCTAGCTTTAACATGAATTTTCCCACATCCGATCAGTCAAAGCCATAATTGCCTCCTGGTAAGCATTGATAGCCTCATCGGCGTCATTGAACGTCCACGCAGCTATTGTTTATTTTTGGGGAACAGAAAGAAACCTCAGGAGTTTAGATCGGGCGAATAGGGTGGATGGGTCACAAGTTTGACTCCTGCTGTACCAGAAAGTCCAAAGTGCAAACTGCAGTGTGAGCGGGAGAGTTGTCGTGATGAAGGAGCAACCCACGAAGACCAGTCTTTGGACACATCCGCTTCACTTCAGCCAAGACGGCGGGCAGGCATACTTTGCTGTACCATTTGGCAGTCACCGTACGATGATCCTCTAGCATCGTCTTCACATGACCAGATCTTCGGAAAAAAAGTGGCCACCATCTTCTTGTTGACGCTTCGAGTCAGACAAAACTTCTGTGGTGGAGGCTCATTAGAAAATGTCCATATGGCTGACTGCAGCTTGGTTTCTGGATCATAGTTGTATATCCAGATCTCGTCACCTGTCGGGATGTCGGATGCCAAACGAGAATCTCCCTCTGCAAATTTTTCCAACATATAGGAACACCATTCCTTGCGTGCCTGTTTTTGTTCTGTGGTCAAGCAGTGGGGCACCCAAAGAGAAACAAGCTTCCGCAGGCCAAGAGGTTGGTGCAGGATCTCGTGGAATGCAGCGATCCGATACCCAAGGCAGCCTGAATCTCGTCATATGTGATTCGACGACCGTTCTCAATCAAGTTACGCACACGCTCAATTATGTCAGAAGTAACAGCATTGATGAGACGCCCCAAGCGAGGTTCGTCTTCGAGTGTCGAACTTGGCAAAATTGGGCAAACCAATTATACACAATGGCGCTTGAGGGTGTAGTGTCTCCAAAAGCTGTTCTCAAGGATTGGTAGCAATCTGATTGGCTGAAGCATTTTTTTGGAGTCATAGAAAATCATAGCCCGCCCGTGCTCTCGAATAAGCTTCATTCCAACGAGGTAAAATACTACCACTAAGGAAAATGAAAGAAGCTATAGCTTTCTTAATACGACTCGGAGTAGAATGACATTTGGTATGTAGAGCAATATAGAGTTCTACAATAGCATCATATCCTAAAGCAAAAGATCATGTAATACGCTGGCCTGATTCTAAAAACTTTCAGAGTGACCCACGTATTCTCTTCCAAAGTGGGATGTGCTCATTGCATCCTCCCAAGAGCTCACTATCACTCCTCCTGAATTAAACCAAGATCATTGATGATATACAGTAGGTCTATATTTTTTCTAGGAATGAGAAACCACTGAGAGTGTGACTTACACAGTTAGTGGCTAACGTGATGTCACAGGATCAATGTAACTTCTCCAGAATGAAAAATATAGATTTCCTAAATTTATTTTTGGCGCCTAGGACTGTCGGATGTGCAAAAACAGGTGCAGAAAGCAAGAAATGCAATGGAGCAAGTTTTGCAAGAAGATAACTTGAGAGGAGCTAATTTCCTGAAAATTTCCTGCAACTGAATGTAGGTGAAAATGTAACTGATAGTCACTTGAAAATTTCCGGCCGGAGACTTCTAGCTTCTTCAACAGATACGACGCTTGGTTATATTTGAACATTGAATAAAGTAAAACATTGTTGTTAACTTGTTGACTTAACGAAAGGAAAATAATCTACTTGGGTCTAATAAACCTTTATCGTTGGACGGTGAAATACCGTCAGTGACCACGTATTTTCATTCACAGATTTAATAACTCCTTCCTGAAATGGGGCAAGTTCCAATGGTCTTGTGATTCAGGTAGTAGCTACTTTGAAGGCTGAGAGTCTCAGAAGAAATATATATGTCGTAGGCTTTTGTGGAATTCAGGGGGATTTCGAATCTTCCTAGAGAGAGACAGGATTCCACTAAATTAGCGGTTTTAGCGGAATCCTCTCAAAGTCATGTCAATGTCACTACACCGTAGGGAGATACCATATCTCCCTGGCTTGAAAATTACCCTTCCCAAGGTTTGTACCGCTGAGGGCAATTCTACTTTCGTTTACATTTGTGAATTATTTAAGGCTGAAGAATACCGTGTTATACTCTGTTCCCGAGCAAAATTCTCGGATATGGAATCCCCCTAACACTTCTATTGTGGGTACTCATAAAGTGATTAACTGGACTTGACTTGTGAGTGCTAACCTATATGGAAATAATGCGCAGGGATGTCAGATTCTGTTGGAATCCTCCCATGGCCACCACGACATCCGCAGGACACTCACACGAAGAACATGCATAAAAATCCATATCACGTATTCCATATCCGAGAATTTAGACTCGGTAAAGCTTTCGATACCGTTCCTCACAAGAGATTGCGGGTTAAACTGGAAGCGCAAGGGATCCAGGGTAGGACGAGCGAGTGCATCATTAGCTGGATGGCAGGAAGAGAGCAACGGGTGATGATAAATGGGCAAAGCGTCGAAGGAAGTCGGAATCGTAAGCGATGTCCCTCTAGGCTCGGTCCTTCGACCGCTTCTGTTATTGGTCTACATAAACGATTTGGATCTCGGGGTATAGGGTAAGATGAGCAAATCTGCCTACGACATCAAGATAGGTTTTACCATAAGGGGGGAGGCGGATAGGGCTAGAGCCGAGCGAGATTTAAGACTTTTGGACGAGTGCAACAGGAAATGGCTCATGAGGTTTAATAAAAATAAGTGTAAAGTTCTCCACGTCGAAACTGACAGATGAGATGATGAGAGACAATGCAGTTGCTGAAACAGAACATCATTGTTGGGAAGCAGTTATTGTGGATTCCAGCGGGAGGATGATCTGCAGCGGAGCACTCATAGAGCGTCAATTCGTCTCCACCACTTCCTCCTGCTTTCTCTTCTTCATGTATTCCTCTCTTATGCGTTTGTTGATACCGATGAAGAAGACTTACTTTGCTTTTCAGTCACTAATTTGGGATTTGGGATTTCGATTACATCCATTTACTGTAGAGGATAAGAGCTGAAGTCACTGTCCATCCAGGTAGCTGGTAGCCCTGTACGACATCGGATACGTAAGAGAGTCGCACATTTAGACTTCGTCAGGGAAACCCTCGATAATGACCTTGGGATGGTGATCCTTGAGAAGCCAGTGAAAGAGGGAGGAACATGTCCGCTCTGCACCCAGGATTTTAATGATCTACAATATTTCTCTGAATGCAAACTCATCAGTCACATGAAAGGTTGCGATTGCTATTGGTTTTATGTTATATCTCCACCTGACTGGGTCAATTATCTCGGTGATTTTGTCTTTCATTTTCAGATGTGGCCTCTATGACGTCGGAACCAGTGACATATTCCGCCTCGATCGTCGAACATCGCACATGCCATGAGAGAATCACCCAGGGCGGTCTCCTTCCAGTGAACTCCATATGCGTGACCTTCTCCTCGACGTGGTGTGGGGAATCCGGTGCACCTCTCATCTGCAAGGACTCCTTCTCCGGCTTCTACCGCGTAGGTCTCAAGATTCCCTTCATTTCTCTGAGACCGAGAAAAAGTGAACCGGATGGATGAATTTGCAGTTGGCAGGTCACTTGTCCACTCCCGTCTGGGGGTGTCAAGAAGAGCAAGCCCCCGGCATTTTCGTCAGTGCCACGTCGCCTTCGTCAGTTGACTTTTACGAGATTACCTTCGAAATCGGTATCATTCACCCCGGGAATGGCACTGCTTCAAATGGAATCCCTGATGAAGGTAACTCAGTACTATTCTAAATTGATGAGGAGTAACAATTGGTACGACCGTCCCAAGACTCTTCTGATATTTTATTCTTGGGGTTTAGAAATTGACGAAAGGCATGGATATTCTATGACAGTACCATTGGAGTATCGCAAGAAAATTACTCAATTTCATTTTGAGTTCTGAGGATCACGTCTAGTCTATAGATGAGCGATACACACTGCCAGTCTATGAGCTCTTAGCTGAAATGAATGATCTTCTTTCGAATGATTCCATATAAGGAGAAAAAGTGAACCTAAGTCACATTTCAATCTATCGGGGACAGCGACAAGAATTCCTTCCGTGAGGGGCATGAGACGTTTCACGAGATTTTCGATTTTTCAAACAAGACGCATTCAGGAAGCCTCTGCACAATTTTACTCATCAGTTCATAGACGTTTGCCGGATAATCAATTGTTTGAAGAAAAAAAACTATCGGTCAGCTTGCGAACGTACCCATTTATCATTCCCATAGTGACCTTCCAGAAAACACAAGATATTGCATATAACGTTTTCTTTGGTGTAAATTTTTAATATCCTACCGTATGGCCATGGTTTCGATGGCAGCCTATTATTTAACTTCAATTTTTGAACTTAGGAGCTTACAATTTTAGTTTACCATGGTGGATTTGCATCTAGATGAAAATCCATCTGGTTCTAAATCCACGTGGGGGCTAACCTTTCATGAGGGTGAGCGCACTGTCAAAGTTCATTCACACTGACTTTCCCTTTTTTCCCGATTTCCTTTGATGGATATATTTTGGCATCGGGTTCATCAATTGAATTCTGAGATGATCGAACACAGGTAATCAGCCCACTGGAGGTGGAATGACCCACCTCAAAGCACCTTTAATTTACCTTTAAGTAGGCAAAGCACAACTTAGGCAGGGTGCAGAAAAAAAACTGACAAACATTTCAAAAGCTTGTAAAGTCTGTCAAATATCGATCGTGTATTAAAATTTAATTTTTTTGCCGCATCTTTGAAACTGTGTTTCTCACATAGAAAACGGTAGAGCGTTTTTTTAACCACCTTATATTTACCATGCAATCAGTGATCTGTCCTCAGATTACCCTCCTTGTTACTCATGTTCCCTGGATAAGATTAGCTGCTGTTTTATTCATCATGTTGGATTCCCTTCCATTCGGAATGCCTGAAGCCACTTATCCATGTGAAAAACAGCGAGGCGGCGGGGAACGAAGTGATCGGCTCAAGAGCAGGGCCACGCCTGAAACGGCCACAATCGCCCTCTCGTTCTTCCATGTCTTCATAAACGTTCACGAAATACATGAAACAATTTTTTCACTCAACATGAGTTACATCCCAAAGAGAAAGCGATTTAGTTTCGAGAAAGCCCACTCACTGCTTAACTACTCTCCCTATGGCAAGATTTCCTCCATGATTAAAATGTCCAACTCTTATTTACAGGTTCCATAGCAATTAGTTTTCCATTCATTTCAACGAACCCAAAATATTGATATGCTATTAATCTGTCGTAACCTTTGGCTCCTTGCTTTTGAATAAATATGTAAAACCTCATCGATATTTTAGAGTCTGTCTTTCGCGGCGAGGCGTCACGTGACGTTATTGAAAAGACGTGAATGTAGCAGCGTTAAACTATTATATTTTTCCTCAAGGAACCCCCGGCCCCCTACCGCCCACTCAATCATTGCTAATTAACTGGACCTGAGTCCTTGCATTCGATTAGAGAAAGGCTTACACGGTCGCCACCATCCAGGGATTTCAATTTGGTGTATAAAACTGCACACATCAAGTCCTTCGGTCTTTACACGCTAAAAACCTGAGAACCCTGAAAGTAAGAGCGGAACCGGTTAACTCGAACGTTTACAACTACCGGGAATACTATATTTGATCAGATTTTCGTGCTGCGTGCACGGGCTGAAATAAGTGGAATGAGAACATTTCGTGCATCACTTTCTGCTCTTTCTGCGTTCGTTTCATTATTCCTGGAAGCATCCTGCGAAGCAGCGTTTTGTTAACGTCGTCATGGACTTTTATCCACTGACTGAGACTCCAGAAGTTCTTTCTTTCTCTCACGTTCAGTAGATCCCGCCACAGAATTGTTGAAATTTCCTCATATTTCGGGGCATTTCGAGAACGCCAACAGTTAAAAATAATATTTGAACACCAACTCGATGCTGGAAACATACTCGAAACACTGTCTTAAACCGGCTACGGAACTGGCAACGCCACGAAGTATGACATTTAATCATTGTCACAGTAAAATTGGGGCCGGGATGCGGCTCGACTCAATAGGATCGATCTGCCCGGTGTATCATGCATAAAGGTCAATTGACAATCTAGTTTCCGGTCGGGTTCGAGAGAAAGTGTAATTTGTGACCGCGAGTTCGGAAGCTCAAAGGACAAAGCAGGGTTTGGACCGGTTCGTTCGGCAATCAGGTCGAGTGCAGGTCATGACGTGTGAGCACTTCTTAAGAAAGCGTTCGGAATTGTGTTATTCTTATTAGCCGAAATGTGGCGTCGTTACATGAAAATGGGGCACCTTTTTGGGCTTTTGATCCAATAAGTATCGCCTCCGGTCATACGCTTACGATTGACATCTCACTCCTGAAAATCTGTTCATCCGTCTGAGGCAGGGGTTCTTAACCTTTTTTGCGCCTACGAACCCCCCAGATCCTCAAGTATTACTCATGGACCCCCTACCCTTGGATATCAGAAACTTTATAT